AGAATAAAGAATAAAGAAGAAGACTGGCACGTGCCACATGGGCCTCTTGGAACACTGTCTCTGGGATTCCTGAGGCTCCATATAAGTCTGAGGGCTCTTAAACCAATGCGTTGAAGAGGCCAGCATGGGTAGGCACAAGATCAGTGGCATGAATGGTGCCATTCTGGATCTTTCAGGCCAGCCACTATCAACCTTACATAGGACAGAAACTGTTGTTCAAATTACTGACCCATAATATTGTCAGATATAATAAAATGGCATGGTTTTAAGCCATTAAGTTTTGGAATAATTTGTTGTATAACTTTAGATAACCAGAATAACATCTAACATTTTCAGACGGAAATTAAGCTCTTGTGTTAGTAGAATTCCGTTTGCAGGGGGAAAAGATGAGAAAGAAAACAAGAGACACATTTTGGGGGGTGAGTGATTTGTAAGGTTACATTGTATTATGATGATAATGCCACTTTATAAGTTATGTGGCAAAACTGAGGAGTTAATTTCCTTTATTTGAGATTTCAAAAATAATGAATGACAGGAAATTGGTTTGGGAAGAGAGGGAGAGAGGAAAAAGGATGCATAATTATTTCTTTCATTATGAATGTGCATTCCTGACATCTCTGAGAGCTAAGATTGTCCTGCAGGGAATATGATTAAAGTTACAAAAGAGAAAAACAAAATAAATAAGTCAGCTTTTGATCCTGCTGCTATATTTACCCACAAGAAAGGAGGCAGCTCTCAGGTGGGCTTTTGTCTATGTAATGTCCTGAAATCCAAGTGTAAAAGAACAATATGAAATCTCAATTCTCCCAAATGGTTTGGGGCGAGTTCAGCCCTTGAGCCCCTGGGGGACTTGGTTCCCAAGGAGACTAATCCCACTTGGTCAGCATTAGGCATCACTGGGGTAAGAGCTGAGTTTGGAGTTCTGCAGATCCCCTATTGCAGGCTGGAGCTGGGTCCCTCTGCACAGTAGGAAGTGAAATATATTGATGTCAAAGCCACTCACATGAACGTGCTCACTCAGGGTGTCGGAGGAGGGACTGATGGACCTAGCAGGAGCTGGCTACTCACTTTCCTGAAACCTATTTCATCCCAGATAGAGCTCTTCCTCAAAGGAGAAGAGATCAGGACCATGAGGCAGGGCCTAAAGCACAATTTAAGGGGAAAGTGGAAACTCTAAGGAGTTCTTCGGTCTCAGGTATAGAATTTGTTCAAGCAGAAGTTGTTCTTTGTTGTTTGATGGCCTACATTTTCCCACAAACACTGTTGCTTTTGCTTAGCCGAGCTGCTAACCCAGCTGTTCTCTTTGCCAGGGATATTTATATGCTAGACAAACTCAAATGTTTCATTTAAGTTTTAGCTCAAATGCCACCTGTCTATTCAGGCTTCCACAACTCTTTTGGTAAGACTTGGGTATACTTTAATTTCACCAACTATTGTACCTTTAATTTACTTCCACTGACACACGTATCACAGTATACTATAATGGCGTGTTTGAATATCTATCTTTCCACCACAGAGGGTAGCTAGACATCATGGCTTCTTATCTCTGTATCCCCACTGCTAGCACAGTGCTGAGTACATTGTGGGTGTCAATGTCTTTCTGCTGAATGAACAAGTGAAGGGATGAATATTGATGGGTGAGATCAGTTTTGTGAATTGGGCTACTTGTAAGCCATGAGTATCTTATAGTTTTGTGGATAGAGTTTTATTGTTGACAAACACTTTAATTTCCATTATCTTATATTTTCACAATAGCCCTACCAAATAGGCTTACATTATTATGCCCTTTATGCAGATGGAAACATTAAGGTCCGGAGGGGTAAGAGATTTCCTTATAGTCAGTTAGATGATAAAAGGCAGGACTGGACTCCAGCCTCAGTCTCTGGCTCCGGTTTTAGCCTCCCCCAGGGTGTTACTCTGCCTTTATTCTAAGTTTCTACAAGCCCCTAAGAGTAGCTCCTCCTTGGCATTTGCCATTAGTCACTTCCTTTGTTGAAGGAAAGGATAAATGATGCTGATTTATAGAGTGATGTATTGGTAAAAAATGGGAAGGGCTTAAAGAATCAAGAACATGCACATTTGTTGAACTGCTATTTGGTACCAGGTGCTTTTGTATATATCATCTCACAACAACCTTGATGAGCTGAAGACTATCTCCATTCTACAGATAAGAAAAATAAGATTCGGGGGTATTATTTAGCTGTTACGTAATTCTCACAAAAACCTCAAGAACAGTTATGACCATTCTCATTTTGGAGACAAGCTTTAGGAAGATGAACTGACTTGTCCAGGGACACTCCCTTAGCCAGAGACACAACCAGAATTTAAACCTGGACTAATCTAACTTCAAATCAATTTTGATGCTTAGCACCTCAACTATTCAGAAATGAAGAAAGACTTTTATATGCCATCTATTTTGAATGATTATATTGGGATTTAGGTAACTCTCTGGGGATTAAGAGATTTTTCAGACTAATATGTTAATTAAATGTGGAGTCCTACGCACTTGTGTCTGGTGAGTTGTAAAAGCTGCTGAGGTGAAAGAAGGTAGGGAAAAAAAAAGTTAGTGCTCTTGGCTGCTGGACCCAGAGGCCTATGGAAGGAACCTGTTCAAAAGTGGAAGGGCCATGATGGCATCCACATTTGAGGGTAAGAGCTCAGTGGTTATGGTGCCAGCCACATACACCAGGCTGGCGGGTTCGAGCCGGCCTAGGCATACTAAACAATAATGAAAACTACAATGAAAAATAAAAAATAGCCGGGCACTGTGGAGGGCACCTCCTGTAGTCCCAGCTACTTAGGAGGCTGAGGCAAGAGAATCACTTAAGTGCAAGAGTTTGAGGTTTCTGTGAGTTGTGATGCCACAGGACTCTCCCTCTACAAAGGGCAACATAGTGAGACTCTGTCAAAAAAAAAAAAAAGAAAAAAAAGGAAAGAAAGAAACACAAATCAGTGGTAGGTCCACACAATTTTCTGGATGCAAATGTTACCAACAGTGAAATAAATAGGTAGTCCAGTCATGGAGGGCAAAACCTTGTGTGTAAACTCAAAATGTACATGATATTTGAGTCAACTTGAATAAAAAATAAAAGTTTTGATATAGTGATGTGGGTTTGGGAACGGCTACTTCATCTCCTAAATGGAGAGTTTTTCTGGCTTGTCTTCTTTGGTAAGGCTCTACCTTCAGGGTGCTCAAAAATAGTTTTTCTATATCTAAAAAGTGAAGCTTAAGGAAAAGAGTTTTGAAAGAGATAGAGTGTATTTTCCCCATGAAGACTCTGTCTGAGCTATGGTAACTTATTTAGAGAATACTTTATCATACACATAGTATTTTCATATACAGATGGTCCCCACCTTATGATGGTTCAACTTTATCATTTTTTTTTGAGTTATGATGGGTTATTTAAGGCATGACATTTAGTTTTGACCTCAAATATTTTCTTTTCTTTCTTTCTTTTTTTTTTTTTTTGCAGGTTTTGGCTGGGGCTGAGTTTGAACCTGCCACCTCCAGCTTATGGGGCCAGCACCCTACTCCTGTGAGCCACAGGGGCTGCCCCAACCTCCCATTCTAAGTCAAGGAGCATTTGTATGTGATCTCTCTAATCCTCATGAACACTCTGTATAGGGAACATAAGTCACCTTTCTGTGTTCCAAGAAATAAGGGGAAATACTCATTCAGGCTGTGGAACATCCAACAGATAAGGATTTTCACACACTATTTCCTTTAAATATCACAAGGATCCTGTGAGGACGGCAACCTTCTTTGCATTTAACATGAGTAAGCTAAGCAGAGAGAGATCAGCTAGTTTGTCCAAAGCCCTGTGATCAGCAGAGCAAGAATTTCAACCTAAGTCACAGGGCTATTGAGTGAGGCTAAGACCAAAGCTTTTCTGAATCTTCTCAAAATGATCTTATTGCTCATTGTGTCAATCTAAGGAGGACTGCCCAGGTGAAATTGAGTTTAAACAAACTTGCAGGTGATCTTTGAAATGCAGCGGCAGTTCCAAAGGACACCCCCTAAAAGGCATGACAGGCGTGGAGGGGTTCTGATCCATCTCCTGTTCGACCTGCTGAGAGTTTTACATTCAGGTGGGCTGGGGTTCGCTCTCAAGTACCAGCTGGCTGGGTGGGTGCGCCTCCTTACCCGGAGACTCCCGCCGTCTCCGCACCAATAGAAGGTAGGCCAAGCCCCAGCCTCATTTTACTGTTGGCTGGTCGTTACTTTCAATAATTAAGGGGTAGAAGAAAGAGCAGTGGATTTGACAGTCCTGGGATAACTCAGGGTAGAATCTTAGAACCACAGATAAAGCTTGAGGAAACTCTAGTTTTCTTCCTCCACCTTACGGATGAGAAAAGTGAGGCCAAGAGCGCACAGAAGGGCTCCGGAGTCAGACTGGACTGGAGCTGGTCTTGGCCAACTCACAGCTCCTTTCTGAGGTGCAGTCTCCACGTTTGTTGAACGGAGGTAATAATATGTAATCCAAAGGGCTGTTGTTCAAGGATTAGATAAGATAACGTATGTATGGTCAGTGCCTGGCAGGGCCCAGAAGCTATTATTGTTACTACAGGGGGACTGAAATCCGCGTTGAGACCCTCGCCTTTCTGCTTCAGCGGCAGTCTTCCGTGCCAGGGCTTGGTGGTGCAGGAGGTGAGCTTGAGTTTGAGTCCCGGCCCTCTTCTCCTCACCCCTTGAGGTTGGAGGGAGACACGAGAAATGGGAAGGGAAACGAAGGGGTTAAGGAGCCCAGCTAGAGAAAGCCGAGAAAACTGAAGCGACCCTCCGCCCCACCAAGCCAGGCTGAGCAAGCCCCTCCTCTCCGCCACCGGGGCGGTCGCCGCGCTCCCTCCCTCCGCCCCTAGCTTACAAGACCTAATGAGCTCCCCCGGGAGGCCGAGCGGCGGCCGGGACCGGAGCGAGGACGCTGCGTCGCGCTCGCCGCGCTGGGGCGGGAGCCGGGCCTGGGCCGCGTGCGGGAGCCGGCGGCCCGGGAGCCGCGGCGATGGCGGTGCAGGCGGCGCTGCTCAGCGCGCACCCCTTTGTGCCCTTCGGCTTCGGGGGTCCCCCAGACGGGCTAGGGGGCGCCTTCGGAGCCCTGGACAAGGGCTGCTGCTTCGAGGACGACGAGACTGCGGCGCCGGCGGGCGCGCTGCTGTCAGGAGCCGAGGGCGGCGACGTGCGCGAGGCCACCCGTGACCTGCTCAGCTTCATCGACTCGGCGTCCAGCAACATCAAGCTGGCGCTGGACAAGCCGGGCAAGTCGAAGAGGAAGGTGAACCACCGCAAGTACCTGCAGAAGCAGATCAAGCGCTGCAGCGGCCTCATGGGCGCCGCGGCCCCGGGCCCGCCGTCCCCCGGCGCTGCCGACGCGCCGGCCAAGCGGCCGCTTGCAGTCCCCGGCGCCCCGACCGTCACCGTCCCGATCCACGGCAAGGCAGCCCCCCGGCGCGAGGCGTCGCAGGCTGCGGCGGCCGCCAACCTGCAAAGCCGGAGTTTGGCCGCGCTCTTCGACTCGTTGCGCCACATCCCCGGGGCTGCCGAGCCGGCGGGGGGCGAGGCGGCGGGGCTTCGCGGAGCTGGAGCTGGGGGCGCCGCAGGGGATGGGATCGGGTCCGCGGGGGCCGCAGCGGTCCCGGGAGCCAGGAAGGTCCCGCTTCGGGCCCGCAACCTGCCTCCGTCCTTCTTCACCGAGCCGTCCCGGGCGGGCGGCGGCGGTTGCAGCCTGTCGGGGCCGGGTGTGAGCTTGGGTGACCTGGAGAAGGGCGCGGAGGCCGTGGAGTTCTTCGAACTACTGGGGCCCGACTACGGCGCTGGCACGGAGGCAGCAGTCTTGCTTGCCGCCGAACCCCTCGACGTGTTCCCCACCGGAGCTGCCGTACTTCGGGGACCGCCGGAGCTGGAGCCCGGCTTCTTTGAGCCACCGCCTGCGGTAGTGGGAAACGTACTATACCCTGAGCCCTGGAGCGTCGCGGGCTGCCCAGCGACCAAGAAGCCGTCCCTGACTACGCCCCGCGGCTGCTTGACCTTGAACGAGCCCTTGCGCCCAGTGTATCCCGGCGTCGCGGACTCTCCGGGAGGGGAGGACGGCCCGGGCCATTTGGCCTCTTTCGTCCCCTTCTTCCCAGACTGCGCCCTGCCCCCGCCGCCGCCCCATCAAGTGTCCTATGATTACAGCGCGGGGTACAGCCGCTCGGCCTACTCCAGTCTTTGGAGACCCGACGGGGTTTGGGAAGGGCCGCCGGGGGAGGAGGGGGCGCCCCGGGACTGACTTCGCCCTTCACAGTAGAAACTTCTCTGGGAGCGCCACGCCTCTGCGGGTTTCTCCTAAGTCTACAGAACGGTGGGAAAATCCAAGTGAAAATGAAATGGGATTTTAAAAAGTTCAGTTAATAAAGCAACTTCAGAAAAAAAAAAATAAAGCAACTTCAGAAAAAGAGGTGAAGAGGAGTCGAGGATTGTTTTAATGCCAGTCTCGAGTGCTTAAAAAAAATTGGTAGGTTCTTACTGGAACAGTGGAGCCAGGAAACCAAGATGGTTTGGGGCTTTGGGTGGGGATGGCGGAGGGGCCAGAGGTGGCTTCTGTAGCCGCCTGCCCTTTCTCCAACTTTTCAGCAAAGGTCAGTGTTTTTAGTGTAACTGCACCTTCCGAACCGTGCCCTGGTCCCTCCCCTGCCCTCTCCTGGAGTGCATTTTTGAATTAAAGCCTATGTTGAAAAGTGCGGAGTGGAGCCATGTGGTTATTGATCTGGGTGTTTTCTTACCGAGCGGTTCTTGTGCGGTCTCAGTCTTGCTAGGTGAGCGTGTTGCTGAGGACGTAGGCGCCGGTCCACTGCTGGCCTCCGGTGCTGGCCCGTGGGTAGGATTCTCTTCTGTCACGCCTGACTTTGTTCAGGCTCCCTCCGGTCCTCTTTCCATCTCCTTCCGCTCGGAGCAGTGCCTTTGCTTACTTTTCTTCTCTTTCTTTCTCTGGCCTCTCACTGCTCTCTCCGGGATGTTTCTTTCAGCCAGCTTTTTCTTGCAAGTCTCTTGGAGACTTAAATTTGACAAAGCTGCGATCCACGTCTGTCTGTTCCTTTCCCCGTTTTCCAGCCACCTTGGAAGGAGGAGACTGGGCAAGTTGTAAGCGCTTTGCACCCAAGTTTCCTTACCTGAGAGGGTAGGGATGTCACGATCCTCCACTCTCACTTCTTCACAGTTTCTTGGGTAGCTCAGAGGGAAACGTACAAAACGCTCAGAGGCTGCTGCAGAGCTTGATTATGTACATTTGTATATTTATATACACCGCTAAATGGTTTATACCCATGGGTGTAATTAAAAGTGTGAGTCCCATGCTCTTTTTGTGCATCTGTTTGCTTGGTGATTGCCCTTCCCCTGACAAGTTGTGCAGCCTCTTTACCACCTGTCCTTCTGTTCCATTCACCCCTAATGCTTCTGTGAGTGTCTGCCCACTGTGCTTCCTCACACCTGTACCCATACCCTTCTGTGCAAATGGTGAAGGGTGTGAAATTACGGAAAGGAGGCTCTCTATTCCGTTAAGAGCAGGTTTGGTGAATGGAATCTGAAGGGCTCTTCAGGGAGGAACCCACTTAGGAAGAAAAAGTCAGAAATATTCTAACCCACCCTGAATGTGGCAGAGAGGACACACAGCATCAGGATGGTTGAGAGGCAGAGGCGGGGAGACTGGGGGGAAGTGCTTAGGTACTATTATCCTCTCCAAAGGGAGAGGGTAAATCAGTCACCACCAGTCATGGACCAGTAAGTTAACCAATTGAAATGTGGTTTTCCCATTGGGCAGGTGAATAACATCTATCACAAAGCATTACTGTGAAGATTTGGCATAGGGGCAGCACTTAGGACCAGGCAGCCAAGGCTTGGCATTATGTCGAAGTTCCAAACCATCTTATTATCTAGAATGCTCAGAGTGTGTGCCAGGCCCTGAGGTAGCCCTCAAGTCACCTATTTCTGATTCTTCTTCTCCCCAAGTTGCCTTCCACTTTGAGCACTGTGCCCAAGCACACCACCTACTGTAGTAGGTGCCTATCGATAATAGTTCTGCCAAGGGCTGAATGTATTATTTCCTGTGTCATTTTCTACTGGAACATTCTAGAATCTGTTTTTATCTCTTACTTAGCCCCATCATTGCCTATAGAGAATTCTTTTTAAGTACAGTATTTTTGAGACTAGAAATATGTTATAACATGCTTGTAATTACATGACTTTGGACAGGCTGGGGATCCTAGCCTAGTTGACATTAATAATTATACTTGTATGTCACACACACATGACTTCCCATCTCAGCTATGAATTCCCTGATGCCTGGCATGTGTTTTAGCATCTTCCTACATCTTCTGAATGTCCTAAACTTTGGTCGTCTCAATTCATACCTCTTCTCTACCCTTCCCTTTATATCCAGGTCCTGACAGGATGGAGACCATCTGCGGTAACTCCCTCTGTTTCCCACTCTCCTTTCACTCGACTCTCTCTCTTTAGCAGGCAGGACCTTCTCTTGCTCTTAGGGCTTAAGATCTTGCCCCCACCCCCCTTCATGAGGACTAGACATTGCTCCATTGAGCTCCATTGAGTAATGTAATGTCTAGTCCTCATGAAGTAGGGGGGGGGCAAGATTTTAATCCTTCTTATCGTATATCTTCAGCCTCATCCTTTCTCCTCCTTTTTGCTCGCATTCTGGAAATAAACTTTTAGGATGATTTAAAAAATTTAAGAATGGGGCAGTGCCTGTGGCTCAAGGAGTAGGGCACCAGTCCCATATACCACAGGTGGCGGGTTCACACCCAGCCCTGGCCAAAAAAGCAAAAACAAAAAAATTAAGAAAGAGAGGAAATAAAGAAGTAAAAGACTCTCATAATCCTGTTTCTCTAAGAATTCCTCTATCTTCTCTTTAGAGTGAAGTTTTGGAAAAAGGATCTACACTTTTTGCCTCTACCTCACCTGAAATTTAAAGCTTAACTACTTTAAGTCCTAGGGTGACCACCTATCCCAGTTTGCCTGGGACTGTTCCAGTTTTATTTTATTTTTATTAAATCCACAGTGTACATTAATACTATTGTGGGGTACAGTGTACTGTTTATGTATACAATTTGAAATACTTTCATCCATCTGGTTAACATAGCCTTCATGTGTTTTCTTAGTTATTGTGTTAAGACATTTATATTCTACATTTAGAGAGATTCACATGTACCCTTATAGGATGAACCATAGTGATCCCACCAATCACCCTCCCTCCATCCACCCTTCACCCTCCCCTCCCTCTCCCCATATTCCTGGGCTAAAATTGGGTTATAGTTCCACATACCAAGAAGTCCCTCAGTCCCAGACAGATTTGGCTTCTGTCCCAGTATTTCTCTCATGGAACCCCATTAACAAACACGGGGCTGTCAGGATTCAGTTCCCATCACCTCTGTGCTGCATCTGAACAGTTGGGCAGCTCTCTAAAACTCTCCTTCCTCTTTTCCCTAAAATTCTCCTCCTTGTGTTTTTGGGGTCTTAACTTTCCAGCCAGGCCTTCATTCTCTCTTCCCCTTTGATCTTGGTGTGCCCCTGTTCCCCTCCTTTCTGCCCTTTGCCCTTATTCCTCCTTTCTGGGTGCTGGTGTCTCTTCCCAAGGCTTCAGTTATTCTTAATGTATCAGTAACCTTCAGCTCTATACACACAGTCTTGCTACCTCTTCTCTGTGCTAGACCTGTTACCTATGTCTTTCCTAGATAGCATCTCCTGGTACTGGTGGTGGTGGTGGGGATTATAAACTTCGGAAACTCTATGTCCAAAATCAAACACATACACCAACTGACTAGCCATAGCCAACCTAGCCACAGTCTTTCCTGTAGCTTCTCTTATCTGTCCAAATGGTTACCAAGGCCTATTGTACCCTCTAAGTCTCAAATATTCTTATCCATGACCTTCACAAAAACGTCATTGAAAGTTATGTTCCAATATATCCATGTTTATATAAATCCATATTCATACAAACATTTCCATATTTATATAGAATATAAATAAATAAATAGTGGAAATATTATTGGATTATTATCTATGTCAACATTCCATTATCCTTTTTTTTCCCCCTTAGACAGAGTCTCATTCTGTCACCGGGCTAGAGTGCCATGTGTCATAGCTCACAGCAACTTCACACTCCTGTGCTCAAGTGATCCCCTTGCCTTAGCCTCCTGAATAGCTGGGACTACGGGCACCTACCATATGCCCAGCTATTTTTTTCTATTTTTAGTAGAGATGGGGATCTCAGTCTTGCTCAGGCTGGTCTCAAACTTCTGAGCTCTAGTAATCTACCTGCCTTGGCCTCATGGAGTGCTAGGTTTACAGGCATGAGGCACCATGCTTGGCTTCAGTTATCTATTTTGAATACATAATTAAAAAAATATTTTTTTTCTAACCACTCTGTAACCCTGAGCTATCTCATCATAGCTCTCAGCAACCTGAAAATCTTGGGCTCAAGCAAGCCTTTTACCTCAGCCTCCCCAGAGGCCGGGACTATAAGCACCTATTAGGACAGCCTGCTAGTTTTTTTCTGTTTTTAGTAGAGACAGGGTCTTGCTCTGGCTCAGGCTGGTCTGGAACTCCTGAGCTCGGGTGACCCACCAGCCTTAGCCTCCCAGAGTGCTGGGATTACAGGCATGAGCCACCATGCCTGGCCTACAATTATTTTTTATAAAGCCCCAATTCTTTCTGGGCCATGGAATACCCTGATATTTTCTGTTTTACTTTTTAATAAAACCTGGATATTATCTATTAAGTTGATTTCATGGCTCTCTAATGGGTTTGGCCTATAGTTTGAAAGACACTGTTCTAAGCTGGTGTCCTTCAATGGCGGTACAGAAGCCGGGGAGCATCTGTGTGCTGGAGATGGTGCAGCCTTGTCCCTGTGCCTGTGGATGTGTGTGTGTGTGTGTGTGTGATCTGTATGGCACAGCTTCTGCCCTGGTTCACACTCAAGTTCAGCTGCGTCTGAAGGTCCACTTGGAGGCCCAGATCACTTAGCTAGCCTTCCAGCTTTTGAGTGAAGGCTGTGTGCATCCTTTTTATTGTTGTGCCCCCTGTGCCCGACATACAGGGCTTCAAATATTTGCCATATGAATTGACAACCCTCTTTGCCATCAGTAAGCCCCTGTTCTTTCTTGGTAGGAACTTCACAGTGAGCTCTGGCTACCACTGCAAGGGAATGATGCCTTGGAACTAGAATGCTGCCACTCACATGGCTTCCTGTTCCAGGGTCTTACAGCTCTGAATGCCTCA